ATTTAAGTGTCACGACACTTTAACTTGTGAGATCAGCTACTTACTTTGCAAGTAAGAAATGACACATATGATGGTCTATCCATAATAACGATATCCGTATCTCGTTATTATTTCGACCACGAATAATTTAATATTCAGTCATACTGTAATTTGTATCTCACAATCACAACTCCTTTTGATTAACAAATTGCAAAGACTTAAATCTACGGACTCTATCATTTAATATAATTTCAATAGAAAAGTAATTTAAATAAACAATAGATCTTCCCAAAAAAAAATAAAAATGCATTAAACATATTGAAAGTGTTTACAACCTAAATCGATTGGGTTTAGGGTATAACACTTACAGCTGCTACATTTGGTGAAGCATGCATAAAGTTTGGAGATTGTGGGCATTTTCTATGAAATTGGGTGTTTTGAGATTGCAACATTGGTATCCTAATTTTAAGGGATAATTGCAGTAGATGCTCCAAACCTTTCAAATAGTTATAGACTTTTCCTAACCTTTTATTCGTTACAACCATCGCCCCTAACCTTTCGAAATGTATGTATTCCAGCCAAATGTCTATTAGTTGATCAAGAAATTGAATTTGACCACATTTTTTATATATTTGTAAAGGATAAAATAATAACTTTCCATTTACTACATTAAAATAAGTTAAAATTCAATTAGAGAAGCCAAAAAAATAAAAATAAAAATGTAAATAAAAATAAAAACTGTAGAGGGTCTTCTCCTCCCCAAAACCCATCGCCACTCTAAAACCCATCCAACCATCTATCGTCGTCGATCGTTGTCATCGGCCACAGCCTACCACCGTCACCCCCTTACAAGCAGCAAACCAAAACCCATGTGTTATTACAGAAATTATTACCTAACAATCTGCAGCTGCTCTGGCTTCCTTATATCAATACCTTTCACTCCCAACTTTCTCAATGTTACACCAACCACACAAATACACAATTGACCTGCCCTCCGTCGTCGAAGTTCATACTGGCGGATGAATGTCTTCCATTTCGGACCAGCCACTATCTTTGACTATTCTCACATTTTCTTCGATGCGTTTATTCCCTTATCACATGACCATCGTTGACCGTCTTCTGTTGTTCCTCGAATCCAACCCTACTATCGGATTCCCAGGACCTAAAACTCCAAAAGCAACAGCAACCGTGGCTGGAGAATGCTCGTTCCTGTAAATCATTGATTAAGTCTCTTTTTTATGGGAGAATTTTGGGATGGTCTAATTTTGATCTTAGGGATCTTGGGGGTGGGATGGTTGTGGGGTAGGTGAAGAAGATGATAGATAGTTTATTTATTTTATTAGTTTTTAAAATATAATGTTATAAATATAAAATTACCATTATGCCCTTTTAAACATTATAAAAAGATGGTCAAACTCAATTTCCTGGTCAACTAATAGGCATTTTGGAATCCATCCATTGGGGATTCAGCCACAAGTTTCGAAACGTTAGGGGCAATGGCTGCAACGAATGAAAAAGAATAATACTATATGTTCAAATGGTGGATTATCCACATATAATGTGAAAGGTGAATTGTGAGAAATGATAAAGTCAATTAAGCTCATGTTTGAACCCCATTTTAATGCTATTTATCACTATTGCTGTTTGAACACTAATTTACGCAAAATTAAGTGACATTAAATGAAATAAGCAATTAAATAAAACACGTAATTCCGATTTTAATTGGGCCTATAACATAGTGTCTCCTAGATCAGTGGTGCTATATAACATTATGTTTTGTAAGTAGTTTTTTATTTTTTCGAAAATTTTTTGATTAAAAAGTAGGAAGTTTTTTTTGAATATATATGAAAAATTATTTTATTGAAAGAATATATGACTGAATGTGAATTTGGGGAAAAATAAATTTAGATAAGGAGACAAAACACTTGGTAAATATTTAAATATGAAATCCATTTCATTGACATTATCATTTAATGTCACCTCAAGTTAAAACCTTCCTCAATTTGTGGTTAATCAAATTTTTGTCTAGACTCAATGCATAGATTTCTTCCCTTTCATTTTCCTACTATATTCACAATCATTAAATTTATTGAAATAATATTGAAATATGAATTGGTATGGAAGAAGTGCTTCCCTCGATAGACAATGGATAATCAATCATAACCTATACAAGTTAGTTTGAGCTTTACCATTGATTCCACCAGACTACCCGTTCAAAGTAAAGAAATTTCAACTGTTGATGCTGTGCATAAGAGCCGTACAACCGCATGCAAGAAATTGCATGGCAGTGAATGCTCATGAGTTAAGTGATTTTAAATTATTTATAAATGATCAAATTTCATTTTCAATTATGCATTCTAATGGAGCCATAAATATTGNNNNCATTCTAATGGAGCCATAAATATTGTATACTTAAATACCACTCATTTCTATTTATAAATGAAGACGGTGTTTGACACACATTGAGGAGAAAAGAATGCATTTTTCCAAGTGATGTGATAGAAAATATGTGGTTAAAATATAAAGAAAAATTTTGAATTTACTTGTAACATTATTTTATTTATGAATATGTGATTGAAAATGAGTAGGGTAAGAATGCATTTTTCAAGAATGTGGATCAAACATGGGCTAAATTAGTCGTTCCGAATGGAGGTTTAGCATTTTAATTTTTTTTAAAACTTTTAAGCCTTAAATTAATAGTTATATAACCTGACTTTTGACATTACGTTTCCAACATTAGCTGTCTTTAAGAAATATTTCTATATAAAATGCCTAAATTCATGTTTGTCAAACAGAGATTTTATGCAATCAATGCTTAATGTTCGCAAAATTATTCCGCAAGTGTACGGGTTTGTTATACAAGTAATAATTATGATGAGTGAGTTATCGTCCTACAGGGAATAAAGTTCAATTATAGTGTATCCGATGTATCTAAATTCGTGACAATAAAAAAATATGGTTGATTTGTGTTTAAC